CCGGATCCCGGTACGGCTTAAGCAATCACACATAGAACACCGGGTGAGTACGCATCCTTCTCGGAAGAATTAACGTATACGCAAGGCCTCGCTTGGTCACGACTTTAGAAAGCTCCAATAAACCTTGATGCCCAGCACCTTGAAGATCGTCGACCAGAACTTCCCAGTGACTCGTGGGTCTCTGTCAGAGACAATTGACTCCGAGATTCTAAGCCTTCGAAAGACATGATCGACAAACAGCGTCGCTGTACCCACACCGTCGATAGTGTCCGGCACCGTTGCACGATGAGTCATCTTGCTCAAATGATTCGCAAAGACCACAACACCCGTGTTGCCTGCCGTGTCCTTCGGCTGGCCAGACACAAAGTCTGAATTCATGGATTACCAACACCCGGAGGTTACCGACAAATTGCTAGCGGCGCCGTCGCAATCGGAGAGGGTTTCACCCTTTGACACGTCTCACACGTGCGCACAAATGAGCCCGTCGATTTGTACAGCTTGGGCCGCCAGTAGTGATAACTCGCAGAGCTGTGGATCTTCGTACGACCGAGATGACCACTGCGTGAGGTGTCATGGGCCTCAGAGAGGGAACAGTACTTCACATCCTCATCGTGAGGAACCACAATTCATAGCGTATTCGTCAATTTGTATATTTTGGTAACCCATTGTTTAATAAATATCGGTGCAACCGTGCACGCCGTCACGACGACAACTTCTTGTCCGAGTTTCATATCTCCTTGCTTCCGAGAGCCCGTAGCAGTGCTCCGCACATATCATCACCCGCGTATGCGGCGCGGATCAAATCCGTCGTTGGAGACATTACCGTCGTGACATGAGCAGGCTCATAATCTGACCTGCGCAACAACGCATCAGTCAGAGCATTCTGCTTTCTTGGTTTATTTTTCACCTCTAAGTTATATTCGGCGAAGACGGAGAGCCATCTAGCCATCCTCTGCAAGAGGTGAGGCGACTGAGTCGCAATGCGTAGTGACACATGATCTGTGTCGATCACAAACGGCTTCGGTGAACATCATAAATGCAAACTTCATCGGGAGTAACTTCTTGTCGTAGACTGGATAGTTCTTCTCCGCAGCCTTAACCTAGCAAGATCAAACGCGAACACACGATTTCACCCCTCGGCGTTTGCATGCAGCAGTGCACAGCCGATCGCAAAGTCCGAAGCGTCACAGACGACACTAAAAATACGTTCGGGATCTGGAACACCAGCATTGGTGCATCAAAGAGGCTGTCATTGACCCTGTCAAAAGCCTCCCAATGCTCGGTGGCCCATCACCATATCGCATTCTTCTCAAGGAGATTAGACAATGGTCTTGCCATTTCCGCTTAATATACACTATACTCGTGCAAGTAGTTGGCGAGATCAATCTACTTGCGCAAGTATTTTTGTCTCTTTGGAACCGGCCAGTTCACAATGGCCTTGATCTTAGCGGGATCCGCTCGAAGGCCACGCTTCCCAATAAAACACCCTAATAAGTGATTTTAAACGCGCCGAAGATGCGATGGTCTGCTTTACCACACAGCATATTCGAGCGCATGCACTCGAGTACCGCTCTAAAAATGAACGATGTGGTTTTCCTCATCTATTATCCCGTGTCCCGCACAAATGTGGACAAAGATGTCGTCGAAGTATGACTGCGCATATGCCCGATGGGGCCTGAACAACGCATTACAAGACGATTGAATGTTGCTGGTGCATTTGACAGCCTTCAAGTCTTCACCAGCCATTCCGAGAGCATCCCGCTATGAGTACTCATCGCTGTCAGCGGAATATCACTCGCTCTCACGAACAACTGGAAATAACCATCGACCAAATAGAGTGCGCTGTACTTTGTAAAGCCAACCATATTGTTCTCGAGTAAATCCTTCCTAGGAATTGGCGTCTGTGCCGGCATTTTGGTACCGTTGAGCTTATTGTAAGCGTGAACGATACGCCACTTGCCGATCGGCTTCCGGACACAAAACGTGGGTGTCGAATGGAGAGACTTTCTCTTACGCACCATTCCCGCGTCGTGTTTGCATCGAAAAGGTGTCAATGACGTTACACTGATCCTTAGCAAGATGCCGCTGGCGTGTTACGGAGTATTTTGTTCACGGAACCAGGTCAATCTCATAACGCAAACCTCGGTCCGAGGTAGGACCAATGGTCGGTCTTTGAAGACGACGTCTTGGAACACCTTTATTAAAGTATAGTACGGTCCGATGGATCCTTTACGATCGTCGAGCCACATTGTGCGTTCAGCACCCTCTTGGTGTCCTCTAAGCTTCATCCAGAAGCGGCGACGAGTTAATCTCCTCGTTCAGCCGTATAATGACTACCTCGGCTAGATCGCCTGCCTTCAAAGCACCGCCAAACTCTTCGAAGGATATCTCGTCCAGCTCGAGAAGAGCATCCAGCCTCTAGGGTGACGTCGCCGTCGTCCTACCCCGTCATACCGTTGAAGAGGGTGTATAAATGTGTACTATCATCTACGGTAGACATACGTCATCGCCGTCATCTCAATATAGTTTTAAACTTTTTCGAGGTCAGTGGACACACTCACTATACCTCGTCCAATGTCCTCACTCCCTGCTCCATCGAAGCTTTGATGTTATTAACAACATCCGATGAAGAGCTGCTATTTAGGTCGACGACCTGCGTCTTGCAGATAACATTCGGCATCGCTGTCTCCTCTCTACATTGGCTTTACGTTTCTTCGAGGCCAGTGGAAACACGCATCATGCCTCGTCCAATGTCCTCACTCCCTGCTCCATCAAAGCCTTGATGTTATTAGCAACATGTGATGAAGGTTGCTATTTAGGTCGACGACCTGCGTTTCGCAGATAATATACGGCATCGCCGTTTTCTCTCTTTATAGGTTTTACGTTTCTTTGGGGCCATTGGAAACACGCACTATGCCTCGTCCAATGTATGCCTCGTCCAATGTTCTCACTCCCTGCTCCATCGAAGCCTTGATGTTATTAACAACTTTCGATGAGCTGCTGTTTCCGCAGTCTTTATCCAGTGGATAACGTGCCAGTCCATGCGCCTCAGAAGGGCCTTGCCCAAGATGCCTTAGACCTCGTCCGACCATGCCACTCCACGCGCATCATTGGGACGTCGCCTTTGATGCCTCGGACTTCGTCCAACCACTCTTGGCATGCAGCAACTGCTTTGATACTTGAGCAATGGTAAGTGGATTACGTGCCACTTCACGTCCCGCCAGCGAGTCGTGCTCTGGACTCCTTTCCGATACAACTTCGGTTTTCGACAACTCTGATACCCCGATATCCAGCACATTGACCGTCCCGGTTTACTGCTCGCGCCAATAGTGCTTCGGCTTCATAGCAGAGATGGGTTCATGACTCACCAAAGCTCCACCAGAAGACGTGCGCGTAGCACCCAAGGTCTTCGACCTCCAGTCGATCCATGGATTAAGGTGCTCCAACCATGCCGTGCCAAGGATAAGGTCATTGAAGAATCAGCAGCGTTCACGTCATCAAAGTCAAGAAGCTTGGCACCGAGGTTCACAAGGATCCTCAGCACAGTGACACAAGTCCCTGTCGCTAAGCGAGCAGTGACGGAGTCACTCAACCGCGCTTCCAGAGCCTCAGAATACAGCTGACACCCTTCGATCGTGGAACGTCAGACATAATTCCCGACAGCTTCTCAAAGCCCTTCACGGTCGCTTTTACGGCCAGCAAACATGGCTTACATACACGTTCCGTGTTCGAGAGCACGGAGCTCTTCGGGGATAGTCCTTGCTGTCCTCAACCTCTCTGAGACCCAATAGTACTCAGCTCTTCCCCAGTAGGCCGGCCCGCGCCTAATGGGTCTTATCGTTTTACTGCGACAAACCAGACTGGTGAGAAGCCAGACATCGGTTCGATGAACCTTGACGCGCCTTTTGCAGGGGACAACCGGTCCGAAGGTGACGGGTGTCTTCACAGACAAACACCGTCGTGTGTTCGAACGCTGCCCGGCGGCTCGGTCCTCTGTTTACTCCTTCTCAGCATAGCTGACATCCATTGGCTAAGCTCCGCTCGACAAATCCAAGTCTTGCCGACTAAAAGTTGATCTTGGTATTTAATCCCACATTCACCCTTTTTTCAAAAGAGGACGGATGTACACGGAAGACTTTTATTCTTGTCACGCCAGTGCGGAGGCTCTTCTAAAAGAAGGTCTCTGCGGCTGCCTTGGGGAGAGGAT